AATCAATGCTTTTGTGCGGTTTCATTTATATTTTGCAATTCTTTATTTTCGTTTGCAAAACTTTATTTTGCATATATAAGTGGCATTACATTGACTCCATATACTTCTCTCAAAAAATTTACAAATAACGATAATTTTAGCTGTTTAATTGCTATTTAGAGCATTGGGATCACTAGATGAATGTTTAATTAACTCATTTTTGTGAAAATCTCAAATTTTTTACTTTTTTGCATCTATCTCAAAATTATTCAGACTCATTTTGCCAGCACGGGTCACAAATGTGTACATTATTGTGTAAATACAGTATTGTCCTCTGCCATGGAGGCTGTAGTGGAGTGTGAAACCATGAGCGAACTAAAAAAAAACACTGAACTACACCCTGAGAAAATCGTTCAAAAGAATGAAAACAAGGGGGCAGCCACTATCTGGACTGATGAGCGGATGAGAATGCAGGTGTTGGAAAATATAACGGATTTCACACCTAAACTTTAAAAATATCCTGCTATAGAAGTGAGTATGAAGGTCAGGCCGCATCACAGAAAATGTCATCCGGCCCGCTAAATTCCATTCTAAACGGGCAGTGGTAGTAGAACAGCACGAGAAGGGTTGTGACCTTTCTCAACACAACAGTGAGGAGAAATGCCAGTTTCCTGTATTCACTGACATAGTAGCATTTTAATATAGAGCAGCCCTAATTATAAATGGAGCTTCTTGGGTAATGCATTCTTTTGTGGGTTATGCCCACTAAAGTTTCACAGCAGTGTGATGGACAACTTTTCCTAGATGTCTGGTTGGTTTGATGTTGCATCAACTTTCACACAACTGAACCAACAGTGCCCACTGGGATCCTCGAATAGAGTTTTGAACTCTTTAACTTATGGATTTGTTTCTCCCTCCTATACTACCTTCAGTTTTTTCACAGCAATCCTTCAGATTCACATGATTCCTTTTTTATAACCAATGAGCTCTCCATGACCTCTGAGATCACAGAATAAGGATTTTTAAAAAGATTTTAAATTCAGACCAATTTGTTAAAGAATCACAAACTGATTTGTGAACCATTCTAACTAATTCACTGAAGAGAAATGACTGAGCAATTTGTTCAAAAACCAAACACTATGGCTTACAATCAAGTTTTATTCTACACAAGAGCAGATAAATATTTACAGAAAAACAAAAAACTTCCATGAGTTTTCAAAGTCTAAAAAGAATAATACATCGCAAACACTGCTAATAGTCCGTCGTTATGCAACAAAATCAAGAGTCTCAACCAGGCTAGTGGGCATCATGTAAGGTACCAAACCCCTGAAGTGCTGAGCTGAGAATTTGTGGGATCGTGTCTTGATTTTTTTTGCTCTTCTACTGTACAGAAGGAAATTTACAGGCCTGTCACCGTTAAGCAGCCAGAGGCCAGAACTGGGATTAATCCAACCTGTGGTGGTGCCTATGGATCACCATAAATCTTCCCTGATTGAATGTAAATAGGAAAACTATGTATGTCGGTATACATCACTGGCATAAAACACATGCTGCCGCCCGCAGGTCTGCCTCGCTAAACTATGCAAACCTAGTGTTGTGCGATCGTGTCTGTGTGTGCCAGTTTCATGCCTTAATGCGCATGCATGTAGGGCACAATATTTATTGACAGTGTGGTGGGCTTACACAATTATAAATCTCAATTACACTGCATTACTTGCTCAGCACTGTGCTCAGATGGCATCCTCAGAAGTTGCCCCTGCAGAATCTGCTCGTAAATTCTTAATAAACTGCAGTGCAGACCTTTGTGTGGAAATGACCTAAATCCTGCATTCTCCTCATCTATGCACTATACTCATTTCTTAAAAATTTAATTGAGCTCTGTTACAGCCATTTAACTGACAACTCGTATTAAACCTGCCCGAACATTTCTGGCAGCACTCTACAACGATCCAAACACATCTTCATACAACATCTAGATGTTATGAGATGGATTCAGAAGGCCTGATTCTCAGACAAGACGCACCACCCGCTGAAAAGGCCTCTCTGTAATCATCAACGATCACCCATGCTATCCGCTTGGTTACCACTGTCTTGTCTGCATCCTTGGTTGGCCTCCAGATGCAGAGGAGTATGTTTTGTCATATCCTCATTTTGATTAGTTAGGTTTAAGTAGTCAAGCTTGCTGCTAGGATGCATTTGTGCCGGCTTAAGTGTTATGCAATACATATCATGCTTTCATCAGTTTTATTTTTTTTGCAAAACTAACTTCCCCCACTCTGCAACATCTTATCTGTACCAGGTTTCTGAAGAATGCTTTTTTTTGGCATATTCAACTTTCACTGATATTTTTGGCCTATCAACACATGGCGGCTCTGTTGTGGTGTCTGTTGGCAATCTCAGAAGTAACAAAAGTACATGACATGACAAACAGTCAGAAGTGATGCTATAGCCCAGCGCTCTGTATTCTGTGGCAGGGCTTTGATATGACAAAGAGAGCAAGGAGGACAGAGAGTAGGGGGAGGAGTGCCATGATTATTTGCTTTCCATCCCTCCGCAGGCTCCTCTGAATCTGACGATTCATCCTTCTGTATAAGGAACTGCTTCCCTTCGTTCATTTTTCGGCAGTTAGCCTCTGGCAGCTTCGTTTGCACAAGGTATGAGTAGTCTAAATATAGTTTGCCATACATACATACATATATACACACACACACATATATATAAAGAAAGCTGCCACCTGGTAATTACACTGCTAATTAAAGACGAATCACACTTAATGGATTTAGGTCTCACTTGGGGCTTCCCATCCCTCATTTCTTTCACTTTTTCTTCACCTACTGCCCTCAATTCCTCTATTTGTAGGCAGGACAAGAGGAAGGGAGAACATTCTGGACTGAGCTGAGCTGGGCTGAATGTCTGGAGTTGCTCACACCTGTTTAAAAGCAGGGGGTCGTACTCGGACAGACTCATTTATTCCCACAACCAATGCACTTGTTAATAATGCACACATCAATCCCTACATACACTCACACAGCATACAAAATTAATTTAGCCAAGTACTGTCTGTTTGAGACAGGTGTAGAGAGATGAAGACTAGCTTATTTCACAAATATGCAATACAAATCTAAATTGAGATTTAATAATAATAATAATAATAATAAGTTTAATAACTATTAATAAATTATTAAAATATAACATTGTATAATAAAAACTGTTAAAACTATTAGTAGTAGTAGTAGCAGCAGTAATACAATTTATTCTTTTTTTTACTAACTCCAATATTAAATGGTATATTTAATTAAACTGCAAAAAACAAATCAACAAAACACACATACACATAAAACAATAGTAAGAATAATAAAAAAAAATTGTAAATTATGACCAGTGAATTCTCATCACACCTGTCATTAGCACATGTGGCAAAGTTCATTTTAAATGTGTCCTACATGCAAACCAATACCATTTCTCAAAAAAAGAATTGGTAGGTTCAATATAATGGACACAGGTAACAAAACAATGCATTTTCATTTATGTGTCAGTGTGTGCAGATAAGCAAACATCCACAGACACACGCACAAGCACCTGCACAGTACCCATCTGTTTTCTGCAGGGGATATTGTATTCACGGCACTGAATAAGCAACATCAAAGACATGGCAGGACGTGGCTGTCTATGAAAGCTTTCACCGTCTCTGAACTGGACATTTAGTATTCCTCTCCAATTGGGTCAGCGCAGGTAGCATTACTACAGACTTGAAAAGTGGAGCTGCTTCACGTCGGATCAAAGTGCAACCTAAATAAAATATCAAAAGTGCAGAGCTTTGGTTTGCATGAAGGCTGCTTATTATGCAAGTTTATGTTAAAGGTATTTTTTTGAAAGCATACTGCAGATGTTCACAGGCATGGCTAATTAACAGCCATTACCATGCAGCAAACAGGATAGTGCCGCGTATCTTTACATTCCCTCCCTGGGTGCTGCACTGTGCAAAATGTGCTTGCAAATGCATGAACTCAGGAAATTAACATCTAGCGTGACCCTGAGCTTCACAAGTTCTCGCTGCTAACCATTCAGCTTAAAGGGATACTCCACCCCAAAATGAAAATTTTCATTAATCACTTACCCCCCCATGTCGTTCCAAACCCGTAAAAGCTTAGTTCGTCTTCGGAACACAATTTATTTTGGATGAAAACCGAGAGGCTTGTGACTGTCCGATTGACTGCCAAGTAAATTACACTGTCAAGGTCCAGAAAAGTATGAAAGACATTGTCAGAATAGTCCATCTGCCATCAGTGCTTCAACCGTAGTGTTCCGAAGACAAACAAAGCTTTTAGGGGTTTGGAATGACATGGGGGTAAATGATTAATGACAATTTTCATTTTAGGGTGGAGTATCCCTTTAATGTAGTTCAAATTGGAAAAATGTCTTGTAGTTCTTAAAAACACACACTACAGTGCTGTTGACACATCAAACTGGTAGTCTGCATGCTGCATGATGTTAGCACAGCATGACGCACTCTTTTAATTAAATGACAAACTGAGAGGAGAGGCCTTCGTGGAAAGATGAGTGATGACTCTGCCATGCAAATCCCCCTTCCTGAGCTCACAATATCTTGTTCAACAGCGCTATTGAGAAGACAAGAAAAATCTGAAAGAACCCTTGCAGCACATACACTGGTTTGATGTTTACTGGAAATGTTCCTGTATTATTTTCACGAAGCCTGTGAACCTGTCACTGTCACTCAGCTTCAAGAATAAGAGCTTTCCAGAAAAATAAGTGTCAGACTATGGGGATTGGATTTACGGACCCATAGTGCTGTCTTTTGCATCATAGTCTCTGTCGCAATTTTCAAAAGGTGCTGGGAAAAAGCCAGGGATAGGAGTTGGCTGAGAGATAAATCATGCACTGTTGCGTTTCACTGGAGTGCTTCATAAGGATTAAGATCTTTAAATGAAACAAGTGCATGGATAATTCACTAACAGAAAATATGTTTTTTCCTGAAAAACAGAGTTGCGAGTTCAACTTACTTGATCCGCAATAGCGCGGCCCAGCTTGTCCATTCTTGATCCCGCTTCGGCAATCTTCTTTGCAGCACTAATCACATCAGAGGTGTTTTTGAGTGGTCCTTTCCCCCTGGGAAAAAAAAACAGCAGTTTCATTCACAGTTACCGTTCTGTGTGCCATCTAATGTGACATGCTAGTGAGTATGTGTGAGCATGGATGATACATGTCAAGATGTCAACACATTCAACAGATAAGAATGGCTGGTCACACTGACAAGGTTGATGAAAAAACAGGCTCTTGTTTCACAGCCTCACTCACAGGAACACAGCGCAGCGTGAACAAGGCTTTTTGGGCAAGACTAGATACATTTGCTTCCAATTGATTAATCTCATTAAGGAGGAACATCCCTCTCCAACACGCTTCCATTCACTAGTAGCTTGAAGACTTTGCGGGGGGTATGAATGAACGAGATACGCATAGACCGACAGATGGCGTGAACTAGCAGCAGCTCCCACCCACTTCTGTGATGTCTGGTCAGCTTCCTGGGGTCACTGCCACTTCAGTTCATTTAATAGTTCATTTAATCCCAGTGTCCCATCTCAGCACACCCCCCTGCAGCTCCCCAGTTACGATCCAGCCAGTCATTTGCCAGTTCTGTGTGCCCACAAGGGACTGAGGGGCACAGTTGGCAAGTGGCGCAACCTGGATTCAAAGCTGCTCTCTTCAGGCTAAACTGAACAATCCAACCCACACAGATGGAATTTTGTGTTTTTTGCTCTTCCTCTACACTCACCCCTCCCTAGTACTCTCTCTCTTTCTGTGCCGTTCAGGCAGGGTCCTCCTGGCAGCACTGCATCCATCAAAACAGTCACAGGAATTCACCAGAGACTGTCTCAAAAAGAAAATGCACCCCACAAAGAGCAACCAACTCTTCTATCATTCTGATAGACACAAAGGACGGGTTATTTTGATGTCACTTTGGTGGTGGCCCACCCGTAACCTGCCCTAGGTGAGAGTGTGGCCACTACAAGGTGACTGTAGAGCAAGTGTGACTTCATCTCACTTGACAATCCCACACTCAGATATGCAAATCTGACTGAGTGTCCATGAATTAGCCACTGATACTGGTTCCAGATGGGGGTAGTGCAATTTTGTGTGTGTCAATATAACTGCTCAAGCACTGGACCACAGCATGCACAGACAGGTGGCTCCAAAATATGTGACACGAATCCCGGCGACGCATGCTTTATTCATGAGCAGAAAGGGACATAAGCAGAATCAGTGGCAAGCCGCTTCTCTGCAGATATTGAGGCCGGATAAAGGCCCCCGAAATCAATTTCCTCTTTATAGCATTAACCTTCATGGGACTGTGTACCCATTCAAGGTCAAGGGGCAATAATTTGGGTGTGGACTGAATTAACTTGCCGAGACCTTCACTCAGCACAATTCTGCAGGTGACACATCAGCACCAATTGCCATTTTTCATGCAAATGCCACCAAATCTGTGCAACCACACTACAGATGTACTGCAGCCTTGTTGCTTTTAACTTGAGACAATGACAGATTTCTGGGGGCCTTCAACAAGAGGTATTAGTGTCACCTTCAAGAGAAACAATATCATTCTCAAGTAGTGTTGCTTTTGTCAACGAAAATTATGACTAAATATCGTCATCAACGAACCTTTATCACGTGACGAAAACGAGACGCAACGTAAATGCTGGTTATGTGACGATGACGATAATTAAATGTATAATGCAATATTGACGAATAAAAACGAGATTAAATGTGGTTTACAAAGTAAAAACTATGCTAAAATGTCTCTTTTTCGTTGACCAAAACGAGACGAAACAAAATGTTATAACGTTATTTCGTCTCGTTTAGTCGCGTTATTATTATTATTTTGCAGTATTTCTCACTTCAGGGGCTGCGTCAGGTTGCACTGCGCAGACGCAGGCGACGTCACTTCCTCAAGCCCCACGGCATTATTTAGAAGACTTAAACCAAACAAAGTTAAGTCTGACACAGAGAAAGGGACCGATGGCCGGCCAGCCGGGGTTCGTCTTTATTTAAATTTATGTGCGTGTACTTCTAACATGTTTGGTTGGTAAAATAAATGTTGTAAATTCAAATCAGAGCGTCTTCCGTCGTGTCTGGAATGAATGTATTCTTGAGTCTTTAAGGCAGTGGTTCTCAGCCCGCGGCCCGTCACAAATTCAAATGCGGCCCACCATGCTGAACACAATTTAAAGAAATTACTTTCAGTTTTACAATTCATTTTAGTTTTTACATTAATTAAAAAATTTACTAAATAAATATAAGCTCTAGCCTAATGTTTTTATGTAAAATAATTGTTTTTTATATATTATTTTCAGACATGAGCAGTACTCACATAGCCTAATTAGCATTACGCATTTAAAGTAACGGACCAAGCGGCCAGCGGCAGACAGTGAGCATATGTTTGATCAATTTAGCCTTCTCAAATCATCACGACTTGACTAAAATAAAATCTATAGATATAAAACAGTTCAAGCATATAACAATGTTTAAACGTTAAACCTAGATAAATGTGCGCTATATATCCAATAGTTTGTGCGGAGAGTGGAAGCTGAAGCACGCTTTGCAGGACATAGAGACGCCAGCGCGATCACTTGCATTTTTTTTTCAGTGGATACACCATTTTTGCTCATAAAAGTAAGAGTAATACTTCATTCGTAACTGTAAAGGGTCTACTTTTATATGATCATAATCCGTAAAGATGCACTACTCTCTAAAGGCGCGTCTAATGAAAAGGTGGCGAGTCAGGATCGACGACTTCATCCTTGCAACACCGACTCAGAAAATACTAGTTTATTAGTAAATAATTCAAATATCTCCTTACTGTTTCCCCCTGACGCATTTATGGTAATTACTTTTGCCGGTGCTTAAGCCTATTGCGTTCATTTGAACACAGAACTCTTCAGCTGCGCTGATGGCACGCAGCATAGGCTACATACTGCTACTGCTGGACACTAAACGAATCTTTTTTCATAACTAATTGATGGATGTCTAAAATATAAAAATAAGGAGAAGCCTAAAACAGGCCTGAGGCACTGCCCACGTCTGAACTATGACGTGAAAATTGTGAAAGATAGTGGTATTTCTGCATTAGGTATGTTTATTTTTATTATAATTTATTTTTTTACTCTTTGCACATCAGTTATTGTTCATTCTAAATTATTTTTTTAATGTAGAATGTTACATAAATACATGAAATGTAGAACAGATAAAAAAGTGCTCGTGGCTCGTCTGCCAGTGGGTGCCCCCCCATGCATAAAAGTGAAACTCCGCCTATGATTGTGCTGTTACTCCTTTCGAGCCGAATTTCACAAAATTGGGTGTTATTTATGGGGAGTAGAATTATTTATTTAAATGAATGTAATCGATTAAATATCATAATATTATATAAATCAGGTTGGTTTGTATTGCTGACGTAATATGTAAATGATATGCGTGTGGCCCGCGAGACTTGCACTTGGACCATAGTGCGGCCCGGTGGAAAAAACGGTTGAGAACCACTACTATAAGGTAACAATAATATAATAAGATAACCTTGTTTGAAATGGGTTTGGCTAAAAATAAAATTTTGGTTTCGTCTATACTACTAACATTAGGTACTATATTGACTGGGTTAAATAGAATTTCATTACTAAAAAGAGACTAAAATACAATTTTCATTGACTAAAACTAGACTAAATGTCATCAGTTTTCGTCTACTAAAACTACACGAAAATAGTCATGGATAATTTTGACTAAAATGAGACTAAAATGCTCAGACTTAGTTGACTAAAACTTGACTAAAAAGAGTATGAACGTGACTAAAACTAATAAAAACTAAAATGACAGCTTCACACAAAGACTAGACTAAAACTAAAATTAAAACAGGCCGCCAAAAACAACACTATTCTCAAGCCTAAAACACAAAACAGCCAACAGACACCACATGTTTAGGGCACAAATGAAAACAGTTGATGAACATTTTAATGAACATAATAAATATATGATTTTAATGAATAACACTTGATTAGTTAAGCCCGTGTGTTGTGGCACAGAAAACCTTTGAGAAACAACAATAAACACCTGTTCATCTAGCTCCATTCCATTTTCTTCCCATACGTGTCTGTGGTCTTGTTTTTCTATCCTGGTGGGGACTTAAACCTGAATGCACACAGACTCATGAGGATGGCCGGCCAGCCGGGGTTCGTCTTTATTTAAATTTATGTGTGTGTACTTCTAACATGTTTGGTTGGTAAAATAAATGTTGTAAATTCAAATCAGAGCGTCTTCCGTGTCTGGAATGGATGTATTCTTGAGTCTATAAGGTAACAATAATATAATAAGATAACCTTGTTTGAAATGGGTTTGGCTAAAATAAAATTTTGGTTTCGTCTACACTACTAGGTACTTATACTATATTGACTGGGTTAAATAGAATTGCATTTCTAAAAAGAGACTAAAATAAAATTTTCATTGACTAAAACTAGACTAAATGTCATCAGTTTTCGTCTACTAAAACTACACGAAAATAGTCATGGATAATTTTGACTAAAATGAGACTAAAATGCTCAGACTTTTAGTTGACTAAAACTTGACTAAAAAGAGTATGAACGTGACTAAAACTAATAAAAACTAAAATGACAGCTTCACACAAAGACTAGACTAAAACTAAAATTAAAACAGGCCGCCAAAAACAACACTATTCTCAAGCCTAAAACACAAAACAGCCAACAGACACCACATGTTTAGGGCACAAATGAAAACAGTTGATGAACATTTTAATGAACATAATAAATATATGATTTTAATGAATAACACTTGATTAGTTAAGCCCGTGTGTTGTGGCACAGAAAACCTTTGAGAAACAACAATAAACACCTGTTCATCTAGCTCCATTCCATTTTCTTCCCATACGTGTCTGTGGTCTTGTTTTTCTATCCTGGTGGGGACTTAAACCTGAATGCACACAGACTCATGAGGACTCGTGTCACCGTGGGGACCTAAGACAAGTCAAGTCACCTTTATTTATATAGCTCTTTATACAATACAGATTGTGTCAAAGCAGCTTTACAGTGTTCAACAGGAAAAACGTGCTGATAATGAAAGAGCACAATAGAAAACAGTCCGTTTATCAGTTAAATTGAGGTCCCCATGGTGAAACAAGCTTATAAATCATACAGAATGATTTTTTTTAAAATGTAAAAATGCTGAAATTTTTCTGTGTGGGGTAGATTAGGGCATGGGGAAAGAAAATATAGTTTAGAGGTGTGTGTGTGTGTATTTCCCCATGTATAATTTTTATATATATTAATAGTAATAAGTGTTGTGTAAGTTTAAATATGTATAGTAATGTAAGTGTACACATAATACCCTTTTATTTTTTTAAAGAAATCGAAATTTTCTAAATGGTGGACAAATGTGTTCACTGCACTGGGGAGGAATGGAGACTTGTTCCTGAACAGGAGGAAGCAGCAAACAAAGCTGCTTTTCCAATATTCTTGAGATAATGCTGAGTGACAGCCATCCTACAGTCATTACTTTGTGTGCAATATTGGCAAACGGTGTCCTCAGCATGATCCACTTTAAAAAAGGGGTCCTGGTTAGCATAGGCAGGGAGAAGCGATAGACCAAGACATTTTCAATCTCTCTCTCTCTCACACACACACACACACACACACACACACACACACACAGTGTCCTGTCCTCTGGGAGAGCAGGTGGCAGTCACTTCTCAGGTGGGCGACCCATGAATGCTGCCACACCTAAAAACTGCCCTTTTCCCGATTCTGTCAGAATACAGGGGAGGAATTCAGATGACCTTTTCTTGCACTAGAAGCTTCTGCCCTTTGTTGTTTTTAAATCAAATCAAGAGGTTAAACGATTTCTTTCCCTTTCAAACCCTTTCTTTCGGGATTACGTATGATGGAAAGACAATGAGGCAGGCAAATGAGCCAGGTAAAAAGCCCACCAAAAAATAAAATAATAAATAAAATTCCACAGCTCATTTGCTTCCACTGAGAAAGGAAAAAAGTTCCACGTGATAGAACCAAGTGCTTGTCTTAGTTAAAGGGGTCATATGATGTTGCTAAAAAGAACACTATTTTGTGTATTTGGTGTAATGAAATGTTTATGTGGTTTAAGGTTTAAAAAAACACATTATTTTCCACATACTGTACATAATTGTTTCTCCTCTATGCCCCGCCTTTCTGAAATGCGTAGATTTTTACCAAGCTCATCGGTCTGAAAAGCAAGGTGTGCTCTGATTGGCCAGCTATCCAGTGCGTTGTGATTGGCCAAATACCTCAGACTAAAATGCTCAGACTTTTAGTTGACTAAAACTTGACTAAAAAGAGTATGAACGTGACTAAAACTAATAAAAACTAAAATGACAGCTTCACACAAAGACTAGACTAAAACTAAAATTAAAACAGGCCGCCAAAAACAACACTATTCTCAAGCCTAAAACACAAAACAGCCAACAGACACCACATGTTTAGGGCACAAATGAAAACAGTTGATGAACATTTTAATGAACATAATAAATATATGATTTTAATGAATAACACTTGATTAGTTAAGCCCGTGTGTTGTGGCACAGAAAACCTTTGAGAAACAACAATAAACACCTGTTCATCTAGCTCCATTCCATTTTCTTCCCATACGTGTCTGTGGTCTTGTTTTTCTATCCTGGTGGGGACTTAAACCTGAATGCACACAGACTCATGAGGACTCGTGTCACCGTGGGGACCTAAGACAAGTCAAGTCACCTTTATTTATATAGCTCTTTATACAATACAGATTGTGTCAAAGCAGCTTTACAGTGTTCAACAGGAAAAACGTGCTGATAATGAAAGAGCACAATAGAAAACAGTCCGTTTATCAGTTAAATTGAGGTCCCCATGGTGAAACAAGCTTATAAATCATACAGAATGATTTTTTTTAAAATGTAAAAATGCTGAAATTTTTCTGTGTGGGGTAGATTAGGGCATGGGGAAAGAAAATATAGTTTAGAGGTGTGTGTGTGTGTATTTCCCCATGTATAATTTTTATATATATTAATAGTAATAAGTGTTGTGTAAGTTTAAATATGTATAGTAATGTAAGTGTACACATAATACCCTTTTATTTTTTTAAAGAAATCGAAATTTTCTAAATGGTGGACAAATGTGTTCACTGCACTGGGGAGGAATGGAGACTTGTTCCTGAACAGGAGGAAGCAGCAAACAAAGCTGCTTTTCCAATATTCTTGAGATAATGCTGAGTGACAGCCATCCTACAGTCATTACTTTGTGTGCAATATTGGCAAACGGTGTCCTCAGCATGATCCACTTTAAAAAAGGGGTCCTGGTTAACATAGGCAGGGAGAAGCGATAGACCAAGACATTTTCAATCTCTCTCTCTCTCACACACACACACACACACACACACACACACACACACAGTGTCCTCTGGGAGAGCAGATGGCAGTCACTTCTCAGGTGTGCGACCCATGAATGCTGCCACACCTAAAAACGGCCCTTTTCCCGATTCTGTCAGAATACAGGGGAGGAATTCAGATGACCTTTTCTTGCACTAGAAGCTTCTGCCCTTTGTTGTTTTTAAATCAAATCAAGAGGTTAAACGATTTCTTTCCCTTTCAAACCCTTTCTTTCGGGATTACGTATGATGGAAAGACAATGAGGCAGGCAAATGAGCCAGGTAAAAAGCCCACCAAAAAATAAAATAATAAATAAAATTCCACAGCTCATTTGCTTCCACTGAGAAAGGAAAAAAGTTCCACGTGATAGAACCAAGTGCTTGTCTTAGTTAAAGGGGTCATATGATGTTGCTAAAAAGAACACTATTTTGTGTATTTGGTGTAATGAAATGTTTATGTGGTTTAAGGTTTAAAAAAACACATTATTTTCCACATACTGTACATAATTGTTTCTCCTCTATGCCCCGCCTTTCTGAAATGCGTAGATTTTTACCAAGCTCATCGGTCTGAAAAGCAAGGTGTGCTCTGATTGGCCAGCTATCCAGTGCGTTGTGATTGGCCAAATACCTCAAGCGTGTGATGGAAATGTTACGCCCCTTACCATATTGTGATGCTGTGTCCCGGAGTGACGAGACAAAAACATTAAAACCCATTATAAACGAGGCATTTGTTGCATCCAGCGGAGACATAATTACGGATTATAATGACTTATACTGTCTTTTTACACGTTGCGTTGCATCGCGCCGCACAAACATAAAACCATGTCTGCATTTGTGATCGGAAAAATGACAAGGAATGGCCGGAGGGCTAGAGTGAGCAGAGGCGGCGGATTCGACGAAGGAGGCTTGCGGCAACCACATGTGAAGACCCCGGGCTGGACTCCAATTCGTCCACGGTGAAAGCCGATCCGGCGATCGACAGCGCGAAGTTGATGTATTTCCTCAGCAACCAGCACGGATCAGCTCCAGGCATGACATTTCTAGTCGTGTCCTCTTTTGGAAGGCCAAACAAAGTAGCTTTACTTTCACAATGAAACACATGGCGGGTTTGAGTGAGCGGAGGGTGGCGGGCTAGAGTGAGCGGAGACCGGCTTGAGTGAGCGGCGGCGGGTGGGCTAGAGTGGGTGGAGGTGGGCGGGCTTGAGAACGGCGTGGCCGGTGGATTCGACATGTGATGTAGACATATGGGGGTGTGTTAGAACAAGCCGTTTTAGGTAGGCGTGGTTGACTTAACTTTTATAAATATCTCTTTGGATTTGAGACTTTAGTCATTGCAACTTTACAGATCTTCTTTATGCACCAAGAGCTTGTAACACTTCAAAGAGAAAGGAAAAATTGAAATCGCATCATATGACCCCTTTAATATTAGACCTTACTAATTGATAGCTGATTTATGACGGGAAATTAGGTATTCCAAAAAAAAAACAAAATACAAAAACTGATTTCACCAGTCTCTTTCAGTATTGGAAAAGATTTCCCTCTAAAAAGGCTTGTGCACATTTTATTGCCAATGCAAACTGCCATACAAACCAATATAAAGCTGAAGCACTGAGCCGGGACGCAGTGAAATCAGAGCAGTAGTGCATGGCCAGAGAGGTCTATTGAGTTGAGTCTAAAAGAGATGCGCGTGTTTGTGTGGTTTTTGACAGGCATTTGAGCAGGGAAGAGAGTGATTTACGCTCACCTGGTGAAGTCTGTCATCTCCATCATGATCATGCACATTTGCTTGGCCAAAACAATGATGTCATTTCCGCTGTCATCCCACTTGGATACCTCAGCGTCCAGCTTGCTCTTCTCCTCCTGGAAACTGGCCACCTGCTCGGCAATCTTCGCCTTCTGCTCTTGGGGTAGCTGAGCCATGATGGCCTGCCAATTCCACAGAGAAGCTCATATATAACAAACCGTACATAAATCTGCTCATGATACGCTGACCTATGACTGTTAATGAGGAAAAGAGATGACACAGGATTTGCAATTGAAAAAGAAAATTGATGTTCTATCCCTATTCCCGCTTCTTTCTTTGCTTCTCTCTAGCACCTTCCTTTGTCCTTCTCTCAGTCTCTCTTTCTCTCTCTCATTTCTTGCATGACCAGTCTGGGCCGGGCAAGCAGGAGAGATTTTACAGCTTTGGCTGGTGGCATATGGGCTATGAAACATTCCTCTAATTCTGTAAAAGGTTCACAACCTTTCAGAACTTTGCTGAGCAATGCTTTCTGCAACATCAATAGCCCTACAAAACTTGAATGAGGAGGCCAGTGGAATATGTGATACTGCAATCAGCACATCAAAGATCAACAGAAAAAGAACCTGATAACCTGAAAATAAATTTTTCTTTAAATATATACAACTGTTTTCAACATTAATAAGAAATGTTTCTCAAGCACCAAATCAAAATATTACAATAACAATAACTTTTGAATGACTGGAGGCTGAAAATTCAGCTTTGCCATCATAGGAATACATTACATTTGAAAAAATATTCAAATAGAAATGTTGTCTTTTTTTATTATGTAATTATTTCACAATATTTCTGCATCAAACCTGGTTAGGACATGCTCAATGTCTGATAAAAAAAAAAAATACAAATCAGACTGCCCTAATTGCGATAAACCTTTCTGGCAAGTTTTCACTAAGAATTAAATTATTCGGCCTCATAAACTGAATTGCTCTTTAAATTTGGAGCACCGGCACACACGTAGCACACATTAGTGCATTAGGGGGGGGGCTGGACAGTGATTACAGACTTATATAATCATATTCTAACTAAAGCACAACCTCCACTGCCCCGTTTTCTACAACTCTCTAAACAAACATACTACTCGCGTCCCCAGCAACAAGTTTCAATGGAAAACGTAAGTCTTCTGCAGTGCTTTTATCTTTAACAAGAGCTTTCTGTTCAAGTCCTGAGCTCTTAAAGTCTCATGCCATCCCCTAGATGATTGGAGCTGAATATTTTTCTGTTATGTTTTTCAGTTTTCATTAACATGCTCACATTACCATGGAAAAGGAGGGTGAGAGATCTGTAATTATATTCGTGCGAGCATGGGGAACAAAGAATTTGCGACCGGCAAAACGGATGTAAATATGAATAGATGACACAGCCTTAGCGGTGGATATTTGTGGCGGTCAATGTGGATATTATGGATGAGTTCTTCTGTGTCATCACGTTCTATTAGTTCTACAGCTTCAGTTTCGGAACTTTCACACTTAGTAACACATACAGCTGTTCTCTTACCACAGTCCAACAGTGAAAAGTGACCCCTTTCAAACTGTGTCGCGTTCCGAACGTTGTTTAAGTGACATACACTGGTATTGCAGTATTTAAAAAATTCATATCATAATAAAAATAAACACCAGTATTCGGTATGAACCGGTATACTGCCCAGCACTAATATTATGTATTCATAATCCATTCACTGTTCCTTCCAGCTATGTAGGGATGAATTTTCATAAGCATTACCAAGGCAACAGAGGAGGATGTGAAGGGAGGGGGTGAGAGAGAGAGGAGGAATGGAGGTAGAGTGGGGGCGAGGTTTGATGTCTGTTTCACTGGTGGCAACATCAGGAGTGCCGTTGACACGAAATCAGTACAGAATCTTAAAAACACTGATTCAGAGTACATCTGCTATTAGAGCTAAACAGTGAAGCAAAGGTGGATTTGGCCGTGACGCTGCAATTCTGACCTGTGAATAGAGTGTTTACCATTTCCCAGTGCTGTCTTCGACTATTTTAATAGACTGCGATAAAGTTTTATTATAGAAACACTGAATAAAATGGAAATTACTATGTCCCTGGACAGATTCCATACAAGCACCTACAAAAGAATCTAATTCTCTTGTAATTTTAGGATTGATTTTGACACCTTTTGACATTCCCTAAGTGGCTCCATAAACTGGCAAGACATGAAACCAAAGCTCTGATGTGAACTACAAAAGCCCCAACTCTCACCCGAGCGCTCTGTCCGGCGATGAGCTGATCATCTTCTGTCTGCACACTGGTCCTGCTACGAGAATCAAAGTCTTCTGTCTCAAAGTCAGAGTCGTCCAGTTCCTCTGGAGTCTGTGAGGGAGAAGAAAAATGTAGGGGTGGGGAGAGATATAGAAAAGCATTAGGAAGCTCTTTCAACAAGTAACTTATGAACTACGGCATAAGCTTATGGCCACAATTTACTCATAGCAAAGTTCTTTTTCATTGAGTTAAAAAGTAGTACGAGATACGTTTGCAGTGGTAAACTGTAAGCCAACATCCTGACACCATTCACACTGCTGGAAGGGCATTTAGTAAGTAAATATGTGCTGCACACTTTGCTATACTTCTTGTCTGTTCGCTTAGGCAAACGGTTTCAAACTTCCAGAACCTCAGAACGGTTTCAAACTCCACTCCTCAGAATTTGTTTTGGCCTGATTTTGTTTGAAATGACATCACACCAGTTCGTTCTTTGATTTTGCTTAAAGTATATTGGGGCCTTTATCAACAGTAGTTTTCCATGGGCAAGTAGACATTTAAAATGCACATCTAAAAGTAAGAAATGCTGCCCATTATGGTCTACTGGTTAATGCATGTGCTCGGATATATTTAGCCATGATGCTCCACATTATTTCCAGTCTTCTCCAACACCTCTTTTTTTTTTTTTTTGTAAATGGTAAAACGCGTATTAATAAATAAAATGTTACATTTTCTAAACGATAGCAGTGCTGCCACTCAATACTAGCAAGTTATGGTTGACTGTTTTGACCAAGAGGTTGCTTAAGTGATCCGAGCATATGTTGCTAAGTTGTTGCAAGGTCCTTGTCTAATAAGATAGGTCCAAGTACATCCTTCAATGCAACAAAAAGTGATGTGGAGATGATGCTTATCACTTGGACTTAAGTAATCCCAAAGTATGAGCAATAGTAAAAGTGACACTTTCCTTAGAAAGCACCCTATGCATAAAAAACAAAAACAAACAAAAAAATCTACCTATGCATTTTTAGAGTGAAAATGTAATGGTGGAAGGTTAAACAGTAAAGCATATTTACTTGCCTGCTGTAAAGAGAGACAGAATGATATGGCACACCAATGCAGTGGGTACATCACGTTTTCCCTATACTGAACTAAACTAACTCTCTTCTCTCTAATCCCTGCACTGAATGCCAAACATGCCTCTTATAACTCTGCTGCTCTATTAGCATGCACTTGTGAGCAGAGGGATCTGTTTGCAGAAGTAAATGGTGGAGAATGGGGAGGGGTGACGGGGGGAAGAACCCTTACTGACAAGAAAATGCATTTCAGCTTGATAGGAGAAAGGACGAGATGTGAGAAGATACGGATGTATTATTTCGCCAGTGCTGCAAGCCGTGCTTATCTGACTGTCTGTACAATCCATTTATGAGGAGATTCTGACTGGCTCAAGATGCAGCGGCTCCAATAATATACCCCTCAAGCATTCCAAAACTCTGCCTGCTGAAGATGACATCAAAACAACATACAACCAAAGTCAGTCAAGGTGTGGACGATGGTTTAGAAGTGCCCAGGCTCATTTCATAAACATGCTTTGCTGTATATAGAGAATCACACTGGAGCATAAAATGGATTTTAACGTAACCGTGCTAAAATTTAAAATGACAACTTTTCAGCTGACCCAGTGCATTGTGATTGGCCGAACACCACAAGCACGTGTCGGAGATGTAACGCCCCTTACCATAATTGCAGCTTCAGCTTTCAAAGTAAATATCAAGACAGTTAATAATGTCATTAGTTTTACCATCAGTTCAAGCCCGAAAGGGCAACAGAGTCGCGTGACAGACACCGTGATGATGCAGTACACAAGCCGCGGTTAAGACAGCTGACGTGCTATGATTTCTGACAGACAGTTCACTCTCCTGTGATGTGACCCTGTTCCCCTCTCACACACACACACACACACGACGCGTTACTCTGCGCTGCGCAAAATTTCGCATTTGAACAGTCAGTAGCAAATATTTAAACTAATAACAAAACATACTTGCAGTCGGATTCAGAAGCGCCAGATTGTCATAGCAAAGTCAGAATTTGCCCTTTTTTTGCCTTTGTGCACAGCCAGCCTTGTACTCTTCTAGGTTCAAAAAAAACTATCGTCCATAAAATGCGTTGCACAAATTCGAACATCTGGGTTGTGCTGTTCTGTTGTAAATAAATCTTAATCAATGATTCCTAATTGCATCTACTTCCGGAAGGTCAAATAAAGTGCTTTTGCTTTCTCACTGAAACACAGTGTCTCCCTGACATGGCTGCATCAACACGACTGCTGTTCCTGAAACTACGCCTTCTTTCTTTGCATGCACATTTGGGCGGCATTATGCAAATATTTACACAGTGACGTATATGTGGGGGCGTGTTAGAACGAGCCGTTTTAGGTAGGCGTGGTTGACTCTTAACTTTTATAAAGAATATCTCTTTGGATTTGAGACTTTAGTCTTTGCAACTTTACAGATCTTCTTTATGCACCAATAGCTTGTAACAACTCCAAAGAGAAAGGAAAACTTGAAATCGCATCATATAACCCTTTTAAAACCGGAAAAAGTCCGATTTTCATGATGTCATCACCTTCAAAAGTTTGGCATCAAAGCGTTTTTTTTTTTTTTTTATTTAACATTTCTATTTCAAATAAATCTAGTAATAATTTAATGTAGATCTACCTTGTGCCAAGCGATAGGAACTGCAGACAGCTCAAAAATATCTACCTAGCTATTCAAGAGAATGCATCAGATCTATAAACTAGGGCAATAGTGAGCATTTGAATAAACAGCCTGAGATGCCTGAAGCAGTGTAGGTAAGGTGAGGTACCTTTGCAAGCTACAGTAACCACTCAGCAGCTATGAGGATCTGTGCTAGGAAGGGCCATTAGTACCAGTAGCATCCCCTCAACAGAGGAGTCGAGGGCTGCCTGCCTGTCAAATATTAGGTGACGGCCGGCCGGCGAGGACTACGAGTGCAGTACTTACCGAGGTTAAAGACTCTGTCCATCTTAAGTAGCGTAAGTCGCACACTTGTCTCTTCCGATCGAGGATTTCCTGTGCAGCGGAGAGGTTGATGCCCACTGGGCACTAGTGTTGGCTGATTGGCTAGCGCGCAAGCTCTGTCTAAAAGTATGAGCTTGACATGGCGTGCATGTTGAGGGAATCAACTTGAAAGTCAAACATTAAAGTATGAATTTTTCTTTCTTGCCATCTCAGTGTCTGCAGGGTGTATTAAAACGGTGCTTTCTAACAAACCCCTGCGATCACCAGACCTTTGGGTGGCTTTCTTATCGGTTCGGACAAGTCGTCTCAGAACAAGGGCCCTGAAGCGCTAAAAAAATACTATACAGTTAGAAAGGAACAAAACAAGATAGCAAAGATCACACCTCTCCTTTCGACTCAACGCATGAAGCATTTCAACGTCGGGGACATGTTCAACACTCATGTTAAACCAACAAACAAACAAGTAGATCCTGTCTGCCAGAGGGTCTTTTGTTTTATCCATTGAATCAATCTAGATAACTAGAGAAGGATGTCTGAAGTGGAAAATGAATGAGGCACTACAGGTCTCCTAGGATTTGAAAATAAAGGGGAAAATGCTAATTAAATCCCCTTTCTAAAAAATCTATTACGTATTATAATGCAAATACAGCGCAATGGATCCCCCTGGACAATGTACAGAGCGCGAACCACAACGCAAAGCATGAAGACAGGAAATCCTCATCCTTCATGCTGTATTTACATTGTCCCTGACTAAAGAACATTAATGGAAACCACATGGGTGGATGAAAAAAAAAAGATTAAACACTCAGTTTAGTGTAGCGTCTCGACCAATCTGACACACTAATTTTAATTTGATTTAAC